CAGTGCATAGCAAAGCTAGTTTGGGGCACCTTGAGAAAACCTGCAAATTTCTGTGACCAAACTGGCTCATTTTAAGTTTCGCAGGAGTTTACAAGTTCAACCAACGTGTACCCTGTTATTAACACGAACTAGCAAAAGGAAATACTGAAAGTGTAGGTGACCCTCCCGAGCCGATGGGCTAATTGCTGGGAAATGTTAGAAAAGACAATGTAAAAAATGTAAGTACAGACCGAATTTACCTGTATGGGTCCTCATATGAATCTGCAAGGCTGAACTAGAACTGAAGTGCTTGAAGCAGACAGCGCATTGATGTTTTGACAGAACTGGCAACTGGAAAATAAGGTTCCTGTTTTTGAGTTGCTCTGGACTTCATAGGCAGAATCCAGGCTGAGTAAACGTGCGGAGCTGGGCGTATCATTGTGCTTTCCTCATTAGCGCGCTCGTGGTCTTACGGCAGGCGCGCTCACGAGGAACGCGAACGTTAGGACGGACTCCGCCCATATTCTCAGCGTGAAATGTGCCTTTAGGTCTTTTTGCCAAAATAAGAACCCTTCATGAGCCAACCAACCTGCCGAGGTGGAGGCGGTTCTGTTTCCGCCCACATCTTCTGCATAGCTTCCAAAGGGTTATCGACCGGAAGAGTTGGTGTGCTTGGAGCCGCCTGAAATATTTCTATGTGGCAGAGGGCCGCGCGTCAGGAGATCCGAACTGAGTTGACTAGCAAAAACTGGCTCGTCGCGCACGCTCGATTTTCTTTCCAGGTGTAATCCTGTTCGCTGCAGATGCTGCGGCGTATCAGAGGGCTGAGTTTGGCGCGGCGCCAGTCGCCTGCCCTCTTCAACAGTTGGGGAAAGGGCTGGCGCAGCGCCAAACCTCGAACGCTCTAGCAGCCACATCGAACGGCGACCCTATAAATGACTTAGAGATGTAAAAGATACCGGTCGTTCCACAGCAGTGATGGTAGGCGCTTCTGAAGGCTGTTGCTGGGCTGCTTTGCGATCGTCGGCAGATTCGGATTCCACTGATCGTCCCATGGATGATGCATCAGTGCTGAATTTTACCAGTTATTCTTCCATCCATAAGAACAGAGCCACTGGCAAAATCAGTTGCCCTAGCCCGGTCCCAAACTCGGACCTCGTCTTGTTCGTGCTATTGCTGCTCAGGTAAACCAAAACTCACTGTTCATGATTTTGCTCTGTTGAGACCGAAGCCTCACTGCTTCCTGAAGGAGAAATAGACGAGACTTCTACCTTTGGCAGTTCCAAATTTGCTAGCGAAGGGATTTTCAAGTGATCTTCTTGCCTGGAAAGAAACAATTTAAAGGCACTTTCCGCGATAAAATAAGGCTATGACCTTTCAAATGTGTCAGACGATCTAGAAGGAGAATTGTGGAGCTGCGCCTATCTTCTAGCAAAGTGAATCGGCAAGAGAACATTCCGCTTCAAGGCTATACCTAATCTACGGCCATGGGCGCCCCTTTAGGCCCATGGGCCGACCCCACCGGCTGCTAGCTACTAGCTAGTAGCCACTATGCTATCTCTCTCCATTCCGAATGGTGAGAGTGAGGTGATACGATAAAAGAGCTGATATCTTTATGATAACGACGAGTGGAAATTCGTACAAACATGCGTTTTCTTCATTGCATGCATGTACAAGTTGGGGTCGATATGGAATCCTATTTAGGGCATTTTCGGCTTTTTCTGCTGCTTTTCTCCGCTAATCAGATACCTAGCCCTTTTTCGTTCCTATGTGGGTTCCGTTACCCACAATCTGTGGTCGCGGGCTTTGCCTTTAAGCTCCTCATGAGAACCCCTTTTCTGTAACAGATTCCTTTGAGCAAAATATTTCACGATATGACATGTTGGAGAGAGGCGCTGCTTTCATTTGCGCGATCAAAGAGCTCTAATCCCGCTCAAACCAATATTTTGCTTTTTTCACAGTCCTTTGGAAAGTCACGATCAAGCGGGTGGATAAATCTAACTCCCTGTCACGAGGGATTTGGCTTGTGCTGGTCATCAGAGTAGTTGGTCGCTCACTAACAGCTGCGTCCTTAGCGCTCCTCAATGCCGAACCCCCCCGCCAACCCCCTTGCACATCGTGCTGACATTCCTATTGAAGCATCCGGCTTTTCTCGCCGCACTGGGATTTCCCTTCACTCTTTCAGCATATATGTAATGTCTAGTCATGCGCGCTCTGCAAATGGAGGCGTAACAACAGTAATGGTCTCTGCAATGGGCGCGTCACAGGGGCGTGGCTGGGAGCACAGCCAGGGCAGATTTTCCACCGATTATAACGGCCCGAGCTGGCTTCAGTGGTGGAAAAGGCGGCATTGGGTGCGCTCCAATCACACATGTCATGCAAGAACCTTGACTGTACATCCCTCTTGGCAAACCGAATAAGCTTTCCCTGCAATTCAGAGCCAGCCCTGAGTAGCGCCAGTTTTTGCACTACACGTCCTTTCAATGCCCTCTTCAAGATCGTTTTTCTATCATTTTCTGTGGATGCTACACTGAAGTAATTTGCAAATTTTTTCCTTCACGTCATTTTCAGAAGCTCAAATTCGCTAACTGTTCAAAATACCTGGATTCTTCCTTGGACTCGGTGTTCGGCTCTTCTTCTCGCCTCTGGTCGAGTTGATTTCCAAGCAGTTGGGCGAGGTTAAATGGAGCTGGTGTGCCGTTTTGCGCAGCCGGATTGAAAAAGGGAAACAAAGGCGGGAACGGCGATGGGAACGGACTGAAATGTTCTTTTAAGAACTGCTGTACTTTTGTATAAGTTATGACTTTCTTT